AGGGAGAAGTTTGGAATTCGAATGGAATTCGAAAGCCATGAGAGAAACCAGTCAAAGAATTGGACTCAGGAAAACTCATCTTCCACTGATACTCCGATGCAAGACTTTCTTGCCCAAGAAGAGAAAATAAGAAAAAAATATACTGGAAAAAGTGTGAAGCTATTCAAAGGTAAAGTACAAGTAAATGAAAACTATTTAACCCAAAACAAAGGAGAAGATGCTATAAGAAGACAAAATGGACAAAATGACAATGGGACATTCATTCTTTCTCTTGGGAATAACTTCCTTACAGCTCAAAAAGAGATTGACACAAAAGAGAAGCCTTATAAATGTTTGGAATGCGGAAAATATTTTAGGACAAGCAGGAAACTTACTTCCCATGAAAGGATCCCCACAGGGGAGAAACCATTTAAATGCATGGAGTGTGGAAAGACCTTCGCTCGAAGAAGTAATCTTATTTCCCATAAGATGATCCACACAGGGGAGAAGCCATATAAATGCAAGGAGTGTGGAAAGATGTTTACTCAGAGCAGAGACCTAAAAATACACAAAAGGATCCACTCAGGAGAGAGACCATATAAATGCATAGAGTGTGGAAAGACCTTTGCTAATAACAGTAACCTAAGAAGACACCAAATGATCCACTCAGAAGAGAAACCATATAAATGCATGAAGTGTGGAAAGACCTTTACTCAAAGAGGTCATCTTATTTCCCATAAGATGATACACACAGGGGAGAAGCCGTATAAATGCATGGAGTGTGGAAAGACCTTTGCTTATAACAGTAACCTAAGAAGACACCAAATGATCCACTCAGAAGAGAAACCATATAAATGCATGGAGTGTGGAAAGACCTTTGCCCACAGCAGTGGCCTTAGAAGCCACAAAACTCACCACACAGGAGAGAAACCATTTAAATGCATGGAGTGTGGAAAAACCTTTACTCAAAGAAGTAGTCTTATTTCCCATAAGATGATACACACAGGGGAGAAGCCGTATAAAT